TGATGTCCCCACAGGGAACCATCACTATTGGCTTGTCCAGTGCTACTGAGAGGACACCTGTTACCCCTGAGAATTTTCTGTTTGAACTTGCTTTGAACCTTTGCAAGTTCCTCCCTGGGGCAGGTTGAAATTTCTAGAAAATCTATTTTGATAAAAAAATATATGTATACAAACAGACAATAGTTATTTATTTTATCTTTGGCAAAACCTCCTATATAATTTTGAGAATATTAAATAGGCCCAAATAGTTCAAAAAATTTTTATAGAGAGAGAGAATAAATCCTTGAGGCACTCCAGAGCCCATTGGAATAACTCAAGTCATTTCTTGCTTAAAAAGTCTTTTTTTCTTTTTAATATATTTTATTGATTATGCCATTACAGTTGTCCCATTTCCCCCTCTTCATTCCCCTCCACCCTGCACATCCCCTCTCCCACCATTCCCCCCTTTAGTTTATGTCCATGTGTCACAAGTTCTTTAGACTCTATATTTCCCATACTATTCTTGCCCTCCCCCTTGTCTATTTTCTGCCTGTCATCTATGCTACTTATTTTCTGTACCTTCTCCCCCCTTCTCCTCCTCCCACTCCCCTGTTGCTAACCCTCCATGTGATCTCCATTTCTATGGTTCCACTCCTGATCTAGCTGTCTGCTTAAATTGCTTTTGTTTTTAGGTGTGGTTGTTAATAACTGTGAGTTTGCTGTCCTTTCACTGTTCATATATTTTTATCTTCTTTTTCTTAGATAAGTCCCTTTAACATTTCATATCATAAGGGCTTGGTGATGATGAACTCCTTGAATTTGACCTTATCTGAGAAGCGCTTTATTTGCCCTTCCATTCTAAATGAAAGCTCTGCTGGATAGAGCAAGCTTGGATGTAGGTCTTTGGATTTCATGACTTGGAATACTTCTTTCCAGCCCCTTCCTGCCTTCAGGGTCTCTTTTGAGAAATCAGCTGACAGTCTGATGGGAACTCCTTTGTAGATGATTGTCCCCTTTTCTCTTGCTGCTTCTAGGATTCTTTCCTTCATTTTTATCTTGGCTAATGTAATTACGATGTGCCTTGGTGTGTTCCTCCTTGGGTCCACCTTCTTTGGGACTCTCTGAGCTTCCTGGATTTCCTGGGAGTCTATTTCCTTTGCCAGATTGGGGAAATTCTCCTTTATTATTTGTTCAAATAACTTTTCCACTTGTGGCTGTTCCTCTTCCCCTGCTTGTACCCCTATAATTCGGATGTTGGAATGTTTAAAGATGTCCTGGAGGTTCCTAAGACTCTCCTCATTTTTTTAAATTCTTGTTTCTTCATTTTTTTCTGTTTGATCATTTTTATCTTTCTTCTGGTCCACTCCCTTGATTTGAGTCCCAGTTTCTTTGCCATCACTATTGGTTTCCTGTGCATTTCCCTTCATTTCAATTAGTTTAGCCTTCATTTGTTCCTCTAATTTGTGACCAAAATCAACCAGTTTTGTGAGTATCCTGATCACCAGTGTTTTGAACTATGCATCTGATAGGTTGGCTATCTCTTGGTTGCTTAGAAGTATTGGCTCTGGGGTTTTGATTTGTTCTTCTCTTTGAGCCATAATGTTTTGGTCTGTTCCTGCCTGTTATGTATGAGGGGTGGAGCCCTAGGTGTTCACCAGGGCGGGGCGACCTAGTTGATGGTTTGTGACGCTGTATGTGGGGGCAGGGTCAGAGAGGGGCAATGGCGTTTGATCTACTCCCTCTCGGATTTTGGTTCCCTCTGCTGCTTCCCGCCAGCAAACTTGGCCCCCTGGTGCCAGCTCCCAGATGTGTGGACCTGTGCACCCTTCAGGACCCTTTGGGTCTCTCCAACAAACTTCTGTGAGCCTGGGAACTTCTCTCGGCACCTCGACCCTGAGAATTTTTTCAATTGGTGCTTTTAGGCTTTAATTCCCATCGCTGGGGCCCTAGTTTGCGTGGTGTGTCTCACTGCTCGCTCCTTCGCCTGGTTTATCTGCTCGCGAATGTGACCACGGTCAGCCAGCCGCCCCACTCCCCCACTGGGTCCGCCTGCTGTCACCACGCCTGGGATCTGCCAGTGGCCTCCTGTGCACCTGGGTCAGTCTGGTCCGGCTGCTTTTTCCTTCATGACCCCTCTCCACTAGCTGCTGACTTTACCCCTCTTACTGGTCTGGCTGAATGGTTCATTGTTGTCGAACTTCAGTACAGTTTAATTTTCCATGTTTTGGTTGTGCTTTGTTACTAAAACTTCGTTGTCTTTAAACTTGGTTGTGCGAGGAGGCACAGTGTTTCCACCTACACCTCCATCTTGGCTGGAAGTCCTAAAGTCTTTTAAAATTCAACTTTCAGAAAGTTGTCAAACAAGCTTAAGTAAAAGATTATAACATAACCTTGTAAAACAAATATTTTTTGTAAATAACTCTAAAAGACATTAAGCAAACTTAAAACCAGTTTTGATATTAAGCATTTGTCCAAACCACAGGATCCTGCTTAATTTATATAAGTATTTAATTAATATCTTTAAGCCAATAAAATATTACACCCTAGTTATACCATGCTGAGGCAGAAAACATACCACATGTGATACACAAACATATCACATAAACACCACACGCATGAAGACTGAACACATAAAGACCAGACACATAATTTGAATTTCTAATTTTTGTAGAGAAAACACATAAATTTTCTCATTTGCTCTTGACAACTTTTAAGAAGACTGAAAAGGGGATGCAAAGTCCTGAATGCCAAGCAGGAAGACTTGTTGAAACTCTCAGTAAAAAGCTTTAAGGACTGTTAATGAATGGTGGAAATAATGTCTCAGCTCCAAGGAACTGAGGATCACAAAAGAGCCTGGGTGGGGCTGCTTTGGCCCCTGAGATGTCAGGAACATAATAACAAAATATATGCTGCAGATAGAATACTGGGTGTTATAGTCCACACCAGCAGAGAAATACAAAGAGATGGGTGTGTTTACCCTGTGCGTGAGGGTGACCTTAACCAATATTGAGAGCATCAGCCAGATGCCCTGGGCATGGATGTAACCCATTCAGAGAGACAGATATGTAGCAAGCCAAGGGTTAGAGGCATCCCTGTAAGCCTCTGGGCTGTTTTGGGCCATTCCGAGGAGAACAAGTATCCTATTAAACTGTCCCTGAGGTTCTTATGGAAGTTAATATTGAAAGAAGATGGTTAGCTAACATTCAGTCAGTTTTAAGAATAGTTTCTTCATGGGAAGTTCCTGAAAGAGAGGTCAGGAATGCGTGCAGCCAGGAGAAACCCAATCCGAAGGGGTGGGGGAGGGGGAGAGGATCGAGGAGGAGAAGTAAAGGAAAGAGAGGGATAGGGTATTAAAGGATCAGGTGAAAGGGCAGAAAAGTGGCTTGAGTTTAAAATGCCACTTTTTTTTTTTTCCTGCACTGAGAGGCAGGCCCAATTTTTCCCAGGACTGAGCAGCTCCCAGGTCTCCAGGGGTAGAATCCAGCGTGTTTTAAGGTCTGGGAGGGGGCGTTTAGAGTAAAACAAATATGAACGAGAGGCATAGTTAGGAGAAAGAGGCCTGGAATCCCTGCAATCTCTGCTAAAGGTTAAAATCTTGTCCGCTCTCTAGAACTAAACCTAAAGAGAGGATCAAAATGGCAACGGTACAGGTCAAATTGGAGGAGGAGTATTATAGTTAAGAGATGCGTTCATGGGCCAGACTTCCTGGTCACCCAGTTCGTATTAAGGCCCGGCTTTGTTGCAATAGAAAATCCAGCGTTTGGGCTTAAAGTCAGTAAACCCTAGAGCCTTCAAGTTAAAAGGGAAGGATAACTCAGGATGAGGACAACTGAGGGTAGGAAGAAAGATTTGAAAAGGGAGTCCCTGACTCGAACAACCTAGAGGTGTGCAGCGAGTCCAGAGTACTCGAGCCTGAGGGCAGACCCAACACCAGGTTCTGCCTTGGACTCAGGCATCCCCGGGGCCAGAGAGCAGACCCAACCAGTAGGAGACCGTTGGAGGCAGCCCTCCTAGCAGAAACCCTACAAAAGTCATAGACCCAGTACCTGGATTTATGACAACGGGACAAAGGGGTAAGCTATCACCTTCAATAGGAAGTTTTTGTCCCAAAATTCAGAGACTTACCGACGCTGGCCGTGAAGATGGGTGAGGAGGACGCCATGGCGCAGAGCCCAGAGAGATCGAGAAGGATTAGAATCCTCTCTCCAAACCTCACTGAGACACGGTTAGGGGGTCAGCCCCAGTCGGGCTTCCGCTGCCCACTGCTCTCCTAGTTGCAAGTCTCAGGAGGCTAAGAGGAGAGGAATAGAGAATGTCCCTGTGCAGGCCACCAAAATGTGATCAGTGATGCGGGCTGTGAAAAAATTCACAAAGAAAAGAAAGTGCAGAGAGTAAAGGTTTTCCCGAGGGAGGGAAAGGACTAGGTGAGGAGATAGGCACCAACACCACCACCAGCACTAAGGGGTTAGGGCTGTGAGTTTTTATCAGGAATGCGGTGGTTGTATAGCAGGATGTTTCAGTTGGGCTACAACTTGTTTTAATGCTACCTTTGGATGCAGGGTGTGCTGATCGTTGTGGTCTAGTATGTCCTGTTTTGCAAGTTCCAGGAGCCCCTGCACCTTCAGGGCACTTCCAGTAATTTTCTAGTCCTGAGGATAAAGGCTCAGAAAGCAATTAGGGTCAGCCATGCTTTATGGGGTCCAGCCAGCCCTGGGAAAGAGGGCCTGAGAAAATGGCTTTTGTCTTATTAGTAAATGTCCCATTAAACCCAAACTAAATATATGCTCCAAATAATCTTCCACTTAGCTGAGTCTCAAAAATGTCTAAGGCAGCTCCAACACCACCTAATACAAGAGAAAATATGAAGAGGGGACCTCTCAGTAGAAAGGGACATCAGTTTTAACCAATTTTGGTTTAAATGGATCTTACAAACTTAATGAAACATGTGACTGTGTGACTATATGGGAACTGACCAGCCTGCAGCTTATTAAGCTTTCTTAGCTGCAGGAGGATGCAAGAGGGTGCTCACTTCAGCAGCACATATATTAAAATTGGAAAGAGACGGAGAAAATTAGCATGGCCCCGACACAAAGATTGCAAATTCATGAAGTTTTCCCGAAAAAAGGAGGCATAGGGCAAGAGACTGTTGCATGAGTCATGAAAAAAGACAGTCAAGACAGTTACAGTAGGGGTGGAAGAAGATTAGATGAGTGGGATATTTTGGAGGTTGAATAGGCAGGGCTTGAGGACTAAAAGTAGTGGGTGAATGAGTGACAAGAGTGTGTGTTCACTTCTGGTTTGGGTGTCAGAGTGAACAGTGGTGTCATTGATGGAGCCAGGGTGTGCAGAGGAAAAGCAGGTTTGGTAGGGAAGAAGATATGGGGTTTAGTTTGGAGTATGTGGGATTAAAATGTGTGTGGAGCAGTAACTCACCCAATAATTCTTTCTTGAGCATCTACTGTGCACCAGGCATGGCACCAGATGCTGAGGATGTAGCAGTAGCGCAGAGAAGGGCCTGTTCTTCATGAAGCTGACATTCTACTGGGGATCAGTCAATAATTAAACAAATACAGTTTCATTCCCATGTTTATTGAGCACCTACTATATACCAGGCACTGTTCTAGGCATTGGGGATTCAAGGGTAAACAGAAAAGGTCCCTGCCCTCCTGTGATTCACATTCCAGTGAGGGAGACAGACAGTAAAGGGAGCCAAATAAAAATTTCAGATTGCAGCAAGTGCTACGAGGAAAATAAAACAAGGTATGAGATAAAGATTTGGATGTAAGATAGCCTATTTCAGAAAGGGTAGTTAAGAAAGGCCTCTTGGAGGTGACACGTGAGCTGAGACCAGAATAACAAGAAGAGTTGGCCAGGGACAGGACAGAACAGAAGGAATAATAAGTGCAAAAGACCTATTTTGGTGGGAGGGCCAGTTTGGGGCATCCTCCCAGTAACAACTCCTGAGCATTTGTGATGGACAGGGTGGAGTACAGGTGGGGGTTGGGGTGGGTTCTCCACACATAAATAACAGACCACGCGTATATCCAAAAACAGTATGTACACAATGTAATGGGGGAGACAAGGTTCAATAAACAATAACAAGGCTGAAAAAGGTCAAACTCTTAAGTGCCGCCTAGAGGCTTGAGCAACTCCTGTAGGAAAAAAGGGAGACACAATTAATTCAAATATGTTCAGTAGGTGTGTCAGGGAGGGCTTCACAGGAGGTGGCATCTGACCCAGGTACGTTGGTACCAGCCCCTAGAAATTCCTCCTCAGTGTTCTTGGGAGGTGAGGTGGGGGCACTGAAGGATAATGGGGAAGGCAAAGCTGGCAGGGGACTAAATCTGAGGCAGTTAGATTTGTAGATAAAGGAATTCTTGGTATTGCCGTGGATGGGGAGCAGCTTGCTGCTACCCTGGAAACGTGTACTCTGCTGTGTCTCTTTACAGCATCAGTGGACAGTCTAAACTGCCTGCCATAGTATGAGGCTGGCTGGAAACCTTCCTCCCTTACCCCCATGTCCACTTAAGACTTGTAAACATTTATTTTTAATTATATAGGCAATAGTATATGCATTCCCACTGTAAACATTCAAACAGTCTGAAGGTCCCTGCTGACCACCAACCATTCAGTTTCTGCTTTCTTCCCTAGAGGGAACTTCAGTGGGCTCGCTTCTGTTTCATCTTCGCGTATACAAGAGGGAACCCTCCAAAACACTGGAATTTATTTATAAAAAATTGTGTATTTAATCTTACATGTTTAAAGTCGAGTCACTTTCAAAATACTCTCCATTTGATGCTATACACCTATCAAGATGTCTTTTTTCCACTGCGCAAAATGGTTTTGTAATTCATTCATTTTCATGCTTTTTAGTGCTTCTGCCAGGTTTTTTTGTTTGTTTGTTTGATTCACCTCTTCCACATCAGTAAAGCGTTTCCCTTTGAGGACTTTTTAAATGAGGGGAAACAAAAAAAAAAGTTGCTCAGGGGGTGAGATCAGTTGCATAGGGAGGGTGGGGCATGGAGGTTATGCCACTTCTGGTCAAAAATTGCTGAACACTCAGTGCGGTGTGGGCAGGTGTGTGTGTTCCTAAATCACCCATCGTGCAGTGGGCAAATGCACTGAAAGTCTTCAAAAAAAATCACTGAAGCTGAATGCAGCCTCTCACAACAACGTTGGCTGGAACACTGATACAGATGGGTTCCTACAACACTTACCTAGCAGGGGGAAGCCTGTACTACAAGGCCCCCACCATCCTGAAGATAATTCTGGGTTTCTTTGGCACCTCCTCCCAGTATGTGCATATAATTGTTGAGATGAAAAAAATGATGAGGGCCAAGGTCGACTATAAAATACATGAGGAAAAGAGGGGAAACAGGAAAAAATTACATGAGGAGGAACAGGCTTGCTCCAAAACAGACTTGAAAGTACAAAGACAGGGAAGACAAAAGACAAAATAATGACAAATACCATTATCTGAGAATTTACTGTGTGCAAAGCACTGTTCTAAACTCTTTACATGGATTAACTCACTGAATCCTTACAGCAACCCTATGGGGTAGGCACTAGTACTAGCTCTATTTTATAGATAGGGAAGCTGAGTATAGAGACTTTGTATCTCTTGCCGAAGCCACTATGTACTCCAGCTGCGGTTCCTGGAGTACAGATCAGCCCTCCATTTTATTACTGGTGTGGATTTATAGCAACTGGTGTCTCCTAAGATCCATGTAATGGGGAAGGTGATCAATGGTTCTTGGCATGATTTGAATCACACTAGCAAAAGAGGGTTTACACCCACTTGGAATAAAATGTAGCAGATGGTTCCCCAAGTGCCAAATTAGGTAGCTGAGAACACCAACCCACTCCTCCAGGGCCAGCTTTAGGGGTGTGCCAACTGCATAGAACTCTGCTCCCAGGAGGGGCTTCAGGCTGGATTTAATGCTCTGCCGTCACTGTCTTCACATTCTTTTTTTTTCTTGATTCTCTTTTTTTATTGTTGTTCAAGTACAGTTATCTCCATTTTTCCAACACCACTCCCCCTGCCCCAGCCATTCTCACCTCCCACCCTCAATCCCTCCCTGCTTTGCCTTTGTCCATGGGTCCTTTGTACATGTTCCTTGACTTGACCCTTCCCCTTCTTTCCCCTCTTATCCCCCTCCCCTCTGGTCACTGTCGGTTTGTTCTTTATTTCCTTCCATACCTCTGATTATATTTTGCTCACTTGTTTTGTTGATTAGGTTCCACTTAAAGGTGAGATCATATGGTATTTGTCTTTCACTGACTGGCTTATTACACTTAGCATAATGCTCTCCAGTTCCATCCACACTTTTGCAAAGGGTAAGAGCTCTTTCTTTCTCTCTGCTGCGTAGTATTCCATTGTGTAAATGTGCCACAGTTTTTTGATCCAGCACTTGTGGATCCAGCACTTGCTTCCAGCACTTGGCTATTGTGAATAACACTGCTATGAACATTAGGGTGCATAGGTTCTTTTGAATTGGTGTTTCAGGGTTCTTAGGGTATAACCCCAGCAGTGAAATTGCTGGGTCAAAAGGCAGGTCCATTTTTAGTTTTTTGAGGAAATTCCATACTGTTTTCCACAGTGGCTGTACCAGTCTGCATTTCCACCAACGGTGTACTAGTGTTCCCTTTTCTCCACATACTTGCCAGCACTTGTTGTTTGTTGATGTGTTTATCATGGCCATTCTGACCAGTGTGAAGTGGTATCTCATTGTGGTTTTAATTTGCATCTCTCTGATGGCTAGTGATGCTGAGCATCCTTTTATATGTCTATGGGCCCTCTGTATGTCCTCCTTGGGGAAGTGTCTGTTCAGGACCTTTGCCCATATTTCAATTGAACTGTTTGTCTTCCTGGAGTGGAGTTATGTGAGTTATTTATATATTCTGGAGATCAAACCTGTGTTTGAGATATCATTAGCAAATATATTTTCCCATAGAGTTGATTCCCTTTTGACTTTGCTGATGTTTTTGTTAGCCGTGCAGGTGCTTTTTATTTGATGAAGTCCCGTTTGTTTATTCGTTCCTTTATGTCCTTTGCTGTAGGGGACATATCGGTGAAAATATCGCTGTGTGGAGTATCTTTGATTTTTGTCTTGACATTCCTCTTTGTTTAATTTCTTTTTTTTTTTAATTTTTAGAGAGAGGAGAAGGGAAGAAGAAAGAGAGGGAGAGAAAGATCATGCGTGGTTGCCTCTCACATGGCCCCCACTGGGGGCCGGACCCACAACCCAGGCACATGCCCTGACCAGGAATCGAACTGTGACCTTTTGGTTCACAGCCCATGCTCAATCCACTGAGCTACACCAGCCAGGGCTGTCTTGACATTCTTAATAATTTTATCTTTGTGCCTTGGAAGTGCAGTCCCAGGTGGCATTGGAGTATACACATGAGCAGAAGACACACACAGGGTGGCAGTGTGCACACCCCGTGGGCGCAGCAAGCAGCATGCATGCTAAGCAGTTGGTCAGGCCGCCTGGCATGTACAAGCACATTTGGGGTATTCTGAGGCACCATGGGGCCAGAAGGGGAGACATTGGGCTAGTGACAGTGGTGGCAGCAGTAGCTGAAGCTGCAGTGATGGTGTCAGGGACAGGACCCATGGTGAGAAGCAATCTTGCCTTTCTGCTATCAGAGCCTGACCCTGCAGCATCTGCACAAATAGTAACTCTGGCCTGAGCACAAGGACAGCCACTGCTGGTGCTCAGGCAGCAAGCTTTGCCAGTAAATTACAAAATAAAAGCGTACCCATGGACACTGCAGTAAAGTATATGAAGCACTCATTATTAGCACTTTTTGAAGAGTTTAGAAGCTCTGGTTTTGGAAACTGGTACAACATGCAAAGCAAATACCCAGAGGTTTCGAAATGAAAATTAAATTTAAAGACTGTCATATGAGATACACTACGTGAAAGTGTCAGATGAACTGATTATTAATGAGGAAGACAATTAAAAAGTGTTTTTCCTTGTAGTTGAAGATATAGGGGTAGAATAAATAGACAGGTGTTTTGAATTATAAATAAATCATGAAGCCATTTTAAAATTTCTCGTAGGAACTTGTCTTAGTCCGTTCAGTCTGCTGTAACAAAAATGCCATAGATTGGATGGCTA